ATTTCTGATGAAGGGTCTAGGCCCGAAACGTCAGCCTTCGTGCTCCTATGATGCTGCTTGGCCTGCTGTGTTCATCCAGCTCTACACCTTGTTATCTCAGATTCTCCAGCATCTGCAGTTCCTACTATCTCTGAATATAGTCATAACTAATCCAGTCTCTGTTGATATGTCAGTGCCACCACCACACAGACACCCACCTCCCCCCGCCCCACCCACTATTCCTGGGAGCCAGTCTGGTACACCTTTTATTAGCACTTCCTCAGTAGCCAGAACATCCAACCTAAGAGACCAAAAATGTGCACAGTTCTCCAGATGTCACCTTATTAGTGCCCCTTACAGTTGCGGTAAGATGTCCCTGCTCCGGTACTCCAATCCTGTTGCTATGAAGGACAACATATCGTTTGCCGCCTTCACTGCCTGTTGCATCTGCATACTTACTTTCAGCAACTGGTGCATGAGGACTTAGTCTCAGTCTATCCTGACTGAGTTGGTTCCAATTTCTGTAGGACACCTCGGTGTGTCAGTAAAGTAAAACAAAACTCCAAATTGTGCAGTAGGCTATCTTTTCTGTTCCAATATCTCTCATCTCTTGTTTGCTCACTCTCCGCCTATTCCCCTCTCTCTCTGTCTCACAAGGGTGCTTTTATTTGTGAATAGGGGGATAGAGTTTAATTCTACAAAGTGGCTTAGTTGTTTTGCCACTGAATCAAAGATATTTTATAATAAATGAGTTATTTTTGAGTTTTGTTATGTCCCCAGCTGATGTTATTAGTGGAAAAGTCAGATTGTAAAACACAGGGTAAATAAAATCCCATTAATCCCAAAGCATTCCTTTATAAATATCAATGCACCTTGATTCTGAAAATCTGAAGCAAACACGATGCTGGAGAAACTCCGCAGGTCTTGTAGCATCTGTGGAGAAAGAAATATAGTTAATGTCTCGAGTTCAGTATGACTTTAGAAATTCTGAAGAATTAAATATTAAGAACAATTATTTAATTTTTGGCAGCATCATTTGGGAGCCAAGGTGAAATTTATAACCCTAATTTGTATTGAATCATAACTCAGTTAATTTTAGTGATTTACATTTTGCCTGAATTTTATGACTGGGAGTTAGCATTGTGTCTTTGCTATATATATGATTATTTTAATGAATTCTTGTCTTCTCCCTTTATTCCTATACTCAGGAAACATGGCACAAGTTGGAACTTCACCAATTATACAGGAGGAACCCTCCAGCGCTGAAAATCTTCTGGCAGTAAAATTCCTTATGTCAGCACTGGAGTCTATGGTAAATCATTAGGAATTTATAAGATTATTGTTTATTAACAAACCTATGAATTTTAGCAATCTTGTGCTACATAGGCACTTCTACTTTGTGTTTCAAGGGATTTGAGTCTTGGAATAAGAACATAAGAACTAGGAGCGGGAGTAGGCCATCTGGCCCCTCGAGCCTGCCCCGCCATTTAATAAGATCATGGCTGATCTTTTTGAGACTCCGCTCCACTTACCCGCCCACTCACCATAACCCTTAATTCCTTTACTGTTCAAAAATTTATCTAGCCTTGCCTTAAAAGCGTTCAGCGAGGTAGCTTCACTGGGCAGGGAATTCCACAGATAATTTGCAAAATGTTTTTGCACCACTTGACAAGTTTACTGCAGGTTTCATGCTATATTAGTGAAGGAGATAATTCTAAACAAAAACAAAGTTGCTGGAAAAGCTCAGCAGGTCTGGCAGCATCTGTGGAGGAGAAAACAGTTAACGTTTCGGGTCCGGTGACCCTTCCTCAGAACCCGGACCCATTTTCTGAAGAAGGGTCTAGGCCCAAAACGTCAGCCTTCCTGCTCCTGATGCTGCTTGGCCTGCTGTGTTCATCTAGCTCTACACCTTGTTATCTTTGGAATTGTACTTGCAGTTTTGGGCTTCATCTTATAGGAAGTAACAATCAAACAAACAGTGGAGTTCATGAAGGCTGCTTCACAAACATTTTGGCAAGAGTCCTGCAAAATCTGTCCAAATGACTAAAAACTGTCATTCCTTCTGCTCCTCAGCTCTCAGCTGGTTAACTTCATAAGGCAGGACAAAAAAACTTTTCAAAGTTACCCTGAAGCACAATTGCATTAACCTTGAAGACTGGGAAGAGGTTGCCTTCAATCAACAAAATGGTGGCAGCTTGTCTGTCAAACTACATCGCAGTTTTTAGTCTCAGTGCTTTAATAATAATTCAGAATGGTGACGGCAAAGCAAGTAAAGGACTCTGGATCCCTTACTTTATGGGATGTTGTACGCATGTGCACAAAAATCTGCAGATCAAGAATTAGGCTGATCAGTCATATGAAAATCAAGGTACCAACTTGAGATGCTGTCCTCGAACTGAGGGACAACTGATAATTACTGTAGGAAGGATGATGAGTGGTGGCCAGGATTCAGGGCATAACTGATCCCTCTCAGAATAGTGCTATGGAATCGGTTTATATTAACCCAACAGACAAATGGGATCTTGGTTTGACACATCTTTGGAAATGCCATCTTTTAAAAGATGCAGCAATCCTTTAATACTGCTGTGGAATATTAGCCTTGATTTTTGCCATCAGGTTCTGAAATGGAACTTGAACCCAGAACCTTCTCACAAAGAGGTGAGCAACCAGTATGATGCAGATGACGGTCTTAAATTAGATTCTTTGGCTTTCTTAATTGAGCATGACTGTGAACGTTAATTACACTCCATTTCCACGGAGTTCATTACAAGTGTATCTTCTGGGTGTCGGTCTGGTGTGTACTTAATATTTTGATAGTACAGTAAATGTTGATTGAGGTGCATTGATCTTGTTAAAACATGCACAAATGTGAAGAGATTTAACTTAACAAGAAAACTTGCTTACATTGAGAGTTATGAGACTGAATTGTCTCATGACTGAATTATGAGATTGAAGAGAGACTGAGTAGATTGGGATTATATTCATTGGAATTCATAAGATTGATGGGGGGATCTTATAGAAACATATAAAATTATGAAGGGAATAGATAAGATAGATGTAGAGAGGATGTTTCCACTGTCGGGTGAAGCTAGGACAAGAGGGCATAGCCTCAAGATTAGAGGGAGCAGATTTAGGACTGAACTGAGAAGGAATTTCTTCACCCAGAGTGGTGTTAATCTATGGAATTCCTTGCCCAGTGAAGTAGTTGATGCTACTTCAGTAAGTGCTTTTCTTTAAAAAAAAAAAATTTTGAACAATAAAGGAATTTAAGGGATACGGTGAGAACGCAGGTAAGTGGATCTGAGTCCACGAAAGGATCAGCCATGATCTTATTGAATGGCGAAGCAGGCTGGAGGGGCCAGACGGCCTACTCCTGCTCCTAGTTCTTATGTTCTTAACTGGATACTAAAGTTCGTTGAGTCTGTGATCATGCCAACATTTAAAAATTTTTTAAATGAAAAATGTTCAAGGAAAGAAGAAAAATTGGTAACTGGAAGCACTTAGTACATGGATTTGGGAATACTGCTCATTGGGAGGTTCAAAATGGAACAGTTGGGAGCTGAACAACCTATTTGGATTGTAGTTTTCAATATAATCCTGGGGTAATAATCTTTTGAATTGCTTAGCATGTTCACTTTACTGCATTTTTAGATGGTTGTGGTGTTTAGATTTGTCTTCCAAATGACTAGATCATATGTTTAATTTATTCTAATAAGTTTGTTTGTGAGAGTCAGTGAAGAGTAGGTTGGGGTAAGAGCTCATAAGTAAATGACAATTGAGAAAAATAAGCATTTATTTTGCTACAAGTTGGATATTGATGCAAAAATGGGCTGGCTATAATTGTAGAGTTTAAAGTTAGTCTCTTGTCTTTGTTCTTCCTTTTTTATTATTTGCTCGCATGTAGACCTACTGTTACTGTAATAGCTTTAGTTTTTTTTGTTTCATATGAAATTACCATAAATTTTGAAATAAAGGGTTTCTCGGTGAGGCTGTCTTCCACTATTATTCAACATAATTACTAATAATTGGTTGTATAAGTATTGCTGGAGTTGAACTGCATGTTTCCAGTCTGTGCAGATGTTATTGTGCATAGATTCTTACATATGTGACTTCTACTTGTGTTGAGATTTTTGTGCTTTTTAATCATGCAGTATTTATCTACATTTTTATTGGAGATATCCTTGGATCTCTTGTGCATTTCTCTTGAGTTGCAGAAAACTCTCCAAATTCATTCTACAGTATACTTAGAAGACCTGCTTAGGAAAAGAGTGTGTAGACCTTTTGGACCTTTTTTTGAGCTTGTTCTGCTGTATCATTATATCAGCAGCCAATCTGGCCCTTAATCTCATTTTGCCTGCCTTTTTCTTTGTATCACCCTAATTGCTTGCCTTGACCTTAAGTAATTTTAATTGTCCAAGTGTCAATAACTTTTCTGGGGAGAGAATTCCAAATTTCCTGTGTACAAAAGCACGATTTCAAATCTTGATGGTCTAGCTCCAATTTTAAAGTTTAGCTTCCTTGTTTTGGATCCTCCTAGCAGAGGAAGTGGTCTCTGTGTCGGTTTTATCAAAAACCCTTTATCATCAAATGAAGGTCGAGTTTATGCAACTTTAAAAAATTTAACTCTTTAAATTCTGGCTAATCTGCACTGCAGCAACCTCCATGCCCAAATATAGTTTTTGACGCCCTAAACAGAGTATTGCTACGGATGATATTCTGACCGATGTTTTGTGTAATTGAAGTCCTACTTTAATTTCAACTGTTTAGAGAGAGTGGTGTTAGGCAACTTTCCACTAGCATTTTTTTTATTGGTTTGAAAACTAGCTTTAAATAGTCTGTACACATGGAAATCTTGAACAGCAGGTGTTAATTTTTTTTTTACAAAAGCTGCAAATTGCCTTTATTGGATCCACAGTGAGTGAGTGATTGGATTTCTGCATCAAGCTTCATTTGCTTTCTTCTCATTTGCTATTTGGCCTATATGCCTTCATAGTCTTTGTCCTCATCTGCATAATTCATAGTGCCTTCTAATTTAGTGTTAATTGCACATTTGAGTTTATTTCTTCATCCAAGTTTTGAATAAATATGATGTAAAGCTTGGACATAGTAAAATGACTGTTCTGAGCTTTCTGTTGAGCATCAGAACTTTTGCATTTTGTGAAATGCTGTGATTCAAGTGCAAGGCACATTATGCAAATCTTGGTGATTTTCACTGTATATTAGAAGGTGTACTATACTGCAAAAATATGGGCAAGTCACTTTTCAAAAGTTCTTTTAAGGCTAAGTCAAATAAGTGAATTCTAGGTGCATTCATTGAAATGTTCAGTACTTTTGTCCAGCATTTTAATCAACAACCTTTAGTGAGAAAAGAGAAGCAAGAGTTTACAGACCTTGTTGCTTAAAAGCCTAACTGAAATTTAATGTTGGAGTGATATAGCAAGTGTTTCATTTAAGAGTACTTGAATACATTTTTCTGTAATGTCTGAAAATGTTCACTTAATTGATATTTCCTCTTCAGTGCCAGGAAATTGCAAAGTCAAAAGCTGAAGTGGCTTGTATTGCTGTATATGAGAAAGATATATTTGTCGTGGGGACCGAGCGAGGAAGATCTTTCATTGGAAGCCGAAAGGATTTTCAAACTGATTTTGTCAAATACTGTAAGTTAGTACAATCCCTTTATTTTATAGCTTTGAGTGTCAGATTTGTATGATTTCAAAGATTAATTAAAAGGAGTTTTAGCAACAGCAGTGATCAGGTAAAATAACAATTATCCTAAGTCATTGTTGTGTTAACTCAGTGTTGATGTTCCAGTGATCTTGCTGATCTTGTCTAGTCAGATTCCTTTGACACCTATTTAAGGAATATAGCAATATTCAGGTTGATAAAGACCATTTCAGTTCATCTGGTTGGTCTAAATAAGTAAGAAATACTGAATGTTTGGCAATTTGAAGTAAAGAAATTAAAAGGTGCAACTTATTATGTTGATTTGGATGTGCCTGTATCTTGAATTTGAGATTTCTATAGGACATTAATGTTCAACAATTTTTAAAACCTAGATTTTTCTCACAACATTCATGCTGAGTTACTTGGTGAATTGTGAAACTTGTAAATGTTAACACAGAATGGGTCCACTTTTGTTTGTCATTATATAAATGATTTGGATGAGAATATAGAAGGTATAGTTAGTAAGTTTGCAGATGATACCAAAATTGGTGGTATAGTGGGCAGTGAAGAAGGTTATCTAAGATTACAAAGAGATTTTGATGAATTGGGTCAGTGGGCTGAGGCATGGCAGATGGGGTTTAATTTGGTTAAATGAGAGGTAATGCATTTTGGTAATACAAATAAAGACAGGACTTATACAATTAATGGCAGGGTTGTGGGTAGTGTTGCGGAACAGAGACACCTCTGGGTCCAAGTACATAATTCTTTGAAACTTGTGCCACAAGTAGACAGGGTGGTTAAGAAGGCATTTAACGTGCTTGACTTTGTTGCTCAGATCTTGAGTATAACAGTTGTAAAGTCCATGTTGAGGTTGTACAGCACATATTAGTGAGGCCTCTTCTGGAGTACTGTGTGCAATTTTGGTCACCCTTTTGTAGGAGGGATATTATTAAACTGGAGCAGGTTCAGAAAAGATGTACCAGGATGTTGCCGGGTATCGAGGATTCAGAACTGGGCTGGAGTGGAAGAGGTTGAGGGGTGAACTTGGAGGTTTATAAAATCTTGATGGTTATAGATAAGATGAATAGCAAAGGTCTTCCCCTTAGGATGGGGGAGTTCAAAACTAGGGGACATATTTTTAAGGTGAGAGAAGAGCTTTTAGAAAGGACCTGAGGGGCAACTTTTTCTCGAGGGTGGTTTGTATTTGGAATGAACTGCCAGAGGAAGTGGTAGATGCAGGTACAGTTACGACGTTTAAAAGATATTTGGATAAGTTTACGACTGGGAAAGGTTTAGAGGGATATTGGCCAAGCGCTAGTTAGGATTAGTTTAGTTTACGAATATGGTTTGCATGGACTAGTTGGACCGAGGGGAACGTTTCCATGCCACATGACTCTATGACTCTGACAATATTGTGTACTGATCCACCTGGTTTAGAAATGTTAAGAATCAGAAGAAATATTGCATGGGGATTATTCTTGAATAAAGTGCTATTTAGGAAGCAAAGGAAAGTTTCTTTGTATATTTCTGTTAAATCATGAACTCACTCTAATTCTTGTCACTTTGTCTCCTCTTGGCTCTTCACCTGCCTGTGTCTGTCTGTTGTTGAAAAAGTGGACTTCAATTAGCGCTGTTCTGAGAGTGCCAGATATATTGCCCATCCCAATTTCCCTTGAGGTGATGGTTGGGAAATTCTGTCACAGCAGTGAATAGGAAAAATAACAATTATCCTAAGTCATTGTTGTGTTAACTCAGTGTTGATGTTCCAGTGATCTTGCTGATCTTGTCTAGTCAGATTCCTTTGACACCTATTTAAGGAATATAGCAATATTCAGGTTGATAAAGACCATTTCAGTTCATCTGGTTGGTCTAAATAAGTTAGAAATACTGAATGTTTGGCAATTTGAAGTAAAGAAATTAAAAGGTGCAACTTATTATGTTGATTTGGATTTATAGGCAAAGAAATTAAAATTTTACATTTTCTTTAATTTCTGCACCTGTTTTAAAATTTTTGAATTCCCTTAACTTACTGCTTTGTGGATTGCTCAGTCTCTTGAGAAATTGGAAACAGGACTAAATAGAAAATGCTACAAAAGTTCGCATGTCAGACAGTATTTGTGGAGAGAAGGAGTAGTGAGTTTTTCTCAGTTGATTACATGGGTAGAATTATTCTAACTGCAAATTGCTCATTGTAGCAGGTGATACACAAATGTTACAGGAAGTGAGAGATGGTAAATATTTTCCATAAGACTTTTTTTGATATTGCTTCGAGATTGGAGGTCTGCACTGTTCCGGAACTGGAAATAGTGGACCTTTTTTTTTCTGTGATTTGTTTTTGTAACTTTTCCCTTGGTTTCAATCAATTTTGGATCGCAAAGTGTATTTTTGAATTTAAAAATTGCCCTTTTCAATGCCAGGGCTTCTATATGCTGCGTTGGTGAGAAACACAGCCTTTTCGCGTTCAGCAGTTGCTGTGTTTACATTGTTGCAATAAATTACTTGTGCATGCTGCAAGCACAAAATGGCAAATTGTGTATCTGCAGTTTGATTTTTCTGTCCAACCTTTTGCTAAATGTCAGCAGTACAAAAATGAAAAATGTTTTCTCTGTACAATTTTTGCTGGAATAGTACAGTCATTGTAATATACAAAGTTTTTCTATGTTTATAGAAATTTATTTCAAAGATTAAGGATCATCCATCACACACTTGTTTTGCATTTTTAAGATACAACAATGTTCTTGTATCTCGTAGATAATACAGAAGATATATTTTAATTTGGCATTTCATTGGGGAATAAAGGAAGGAAGTAAAGAAAGAAAGTGGGATGTGTTTGGGATCAAGAAAGAATTGCATTCTTGATAAAAGGTCTTGTTTTCTAGTTCAGTTTTTAAAAAAACTGTAATTGCTTTGATTGCAGGCCTTGTGGTTTATAATTTTTAAAAATTCCTTAATTATTTTTAAATAAACATAGTAGTTATCTGATGTAAAACCACATTTTGAGACTAAAATTATTCTCCACTGGTATGTATGTTCTTTACTAATACAAGTTTAAGTATACTGAATGTCAGAAGGCTGAAAATCCAAGATTTAAGCCCAGCTCGTTCCAAAGTTTTTCTTAAAAGGAAGTGGGTTCTCTATCACTGCAAGATGACCGTGCACATTCCTCCTTCAGCTCCAAGTGCACATTAAATGCTGGGTAATATAGCAAGATATTCTTGTAGTAAAAACACTATCAAGCCACCAGAATTAAAATCCAGTTGTAAGCCTAGCTGTTTACTCTGATAAATTTTTAAAATTGAATTGTCAGGTGTGAATCTTGCCTATTGATTTCAATCAGTTGCAAAATTATTCAGTTGATTACACAGTGCAATATCATTGATATAAATTCTGATAGTGAACTGTTCACACATCATGAGCTGAATTATAATGTCATACAGCACAGAAACACTCTTTGGTCTAACTCGTCCATGCCAACCAAGTTTCCGAAACTAAACCAGTCCCACTTGCCTGCATTTGGCAATTGGGATCCAACTGGCAATTGGGTAATTTTGCATCTGATGATGTGTAATAGACAGGTAACTGATCTCCTGGTAAAAAAGTGCAGAATTTTGCGTTTGGGGTTTGAGAGGGAGGAGCTTGGTTGGAGACAACAGTTTAAACTGAAGGTAGTTACAAAGGAATGAGGGTACAGCTAGGTGGAGTGGACTGGACAGGACAATGAGTTTAACAGCAAAGACTGTTGAGGAGCAATAACTGACATTTTAGAAAATAGTTCGTAGCTCACAGCAAAGATATATTGCAGTGAAAGAAAAGAAGGGATTCTAGAAAGGGGATAAGTCAACCATGGTTAACCAGGAAAGCAGAGGATAGCATCAAATTGAATTTTATTTTCTTTCAGTGTGGCAAAGATTAGATTAAAAACCTAACAAGGCAAGCAAAAAAGGAAAAATACAAACTTTGAGGGTAAACTTGCAAGTAACATCAAGATGGACAACAAGAATTTCTTTATAAAAAGGAAGAGCAAGGCCAATGTTGACTTCATTCGAGAAGGTTGGGGAAATGATGGGGAACCAGAAGATTGCGGAGTTGTTGGTAAAATACTTCATATCAGTTTTCACAGTAGAAGATGCTAATAACATTCCAAAAAATTCTAAAGGGGCAGAAAGGAGCGAAAATAAATACAAAAACTATCGCTAGAGGTCAAAGAGCTAGGGAAACTAATGAACATAAAGACCGACCAGTTCCCTTTACTTGATCAGATGCATCCTAGATATTAGAAGAATTAACTATAAACTGGCAGTAATCTTTCAAGAATCCTTATCTTGTGGAAAAATCGCAGAGGATTGGCAAACTGCCAGCATAACCCTTTGTATGAAAAAAAACAACTGGTAACTGTAGGCTAGTTAGCTTAACTTCAGTTATTGGGAAAAATGCTGGTGCCTATTATAAAGGGTGTTACAGCAGGGCATTCAGAAATACATAATAACATGAAGGGGCAGTCATGCATGACAAGTTTATTAGGATACTTTTGAGGAGGTACAAGCGGGATAGATAAAGGGGTAGCAGTGTCTGTAATATATCTGGATTTTAACATGGTTGATAAGGTACATGTTAGGCTACTTTAACATGGTACAAGCTTATGGTATTAGAGGTTCCATGTTTACATGGTTAGAGGATTGGCTAACTAATAGCAGTCATGGGATAAGGGACATTTACCATTTTGCAATCTGGAAAATCTTATTAAAACTATGCAAGGCAGTAGTCAGGCCACTGCTAGAATAGTGCGGACGGGTTTGGTCCCCTTATCATTTTTTAAGTTCATCCATGTGATTTTTGTGTCACTTGCCAGGCCAATATTTATTACCCATTCCTAATTGCCCAAAAGACAGTTAGGTGTCAGTCACATTGCTGTGGTTCTGGAGTCATGTGTAGCCAGACCAGGTAAAGATGATGTATGTCCTTTAGGGAAGGAAACTGTACAGGTGTTACAGGCCGTCCAAAGAGGATATACAAGGCTAATGCTGGGAGAGGTTGAGAAGATTGGGCATGTAAGAATGAGGGGCAACCTTATTGTAACCTACAAGGCCCTTGCATGATTGATAGGGTAGACACGAAAAGGTTCCACCCCCCGCCTTGTAACTGCACTCTAGCTTGTTATGGTTATTGCATTTAATTTGCAATTGGCCTGGTGACAAATGTTATACATTTATCCCATGGGAGAATTAAAAAGAATCACTTTCCAGCCATTGGGCAGCTTATGCTTGTAACATTCAGGATGCTTGAACATTTATTGAAGTAGTTAGAATAAATACTAATTGGGGAGTATTTCAGTCCTAAATGTGGGTCATATTAGATAATGAATTTTTAATTTCTACACTCCTTTTTTAATAAAAGGTTTTTCAATACAACAGGTCTAAATACACTTGCCCTGAAATGTTGGCTTGCTTAATTTTAAAGAGTTGTGATTTAATTTCAGGTGTGGCTGAGGAGCAAAAAGCAGCAGAAAAGCTCAGAAATGAAGATGTTCTTTGTGTGACACCAGTTGCAGTGGATAATCAGGCTGACATGAGAACAAAAAGAAAATCAGTTGAGGAGCTGTTCTCTTCACTCTATGGTACCGTCATGTTTCATACTGCCTGTGGGGAATAAATTTATATTGATATTTTGTGATTTTTGTTGATCTTGTTCAGTTGAATGAAGTCACTAGTTACATTTCAAAGGGAAGACTTTGCTTACTTTTGTGTCTCAAACTCACCAGTAACACTTGCAGGACTGGTAAACAATAACATAGATTCTTTTACTTAAAGACTAATGCTAATCAATACAAGCTACTGATGACCTCTACAAACACGTCCAACCTAAGGATTCAACATGCAGGTGCACACTCCTAGTTGCTTCTTGTTTTATATCCTCTTTCGGTGATTATGGCATATACATTATTTGTGTATTGTCCAGAGCAATGTTATAATGTTACCAACAAGATTTCGCCATTTGGAACTTTTACTACAATTAATGGAGAACGATAATTAAAATAAAAAGGTAGATTTCACTTTTAAATATTTGTTCCAACGAAGACACATCTTGTACAACTTGTGCACCGACATTACTTACAGCAACTATAACATGTACACTTCATAACTTTGACTGGTATGTACAATTTCTCACTTTTGCCACACCATCAATTCGGCCATCACTTTTCAGTCACTTGGTTCCTTTTTGTGTCAGAGGCCCCTGCAGATACTGTCACCTGAACAACACACTTCTGCAGAATCTCCTTATCTTGGTTCATAATATCTTTCACACAGTTTCCCTGGAGACTTCATTATCTAATCTCCCTAATAAATCCTGTTAACTAGGCTGGTTGGCTTGGCAAAACTAAAGCTGCAACAGCAAAATATTTCACTTCACAATTCATGCTCAAACACTGCCTCTGGCTTTCTGTCCTATATTACATGCACATAGCTCCTTGGAAATACACCACCTTTCTCTGTTCCCTCTGCTGCTCTCCTGTGTGTCTGGTCACGTAGCTTTAGCTGTTGCGTTCCTTTTTGATAATTGCTTCCAGGTCAAGGAATGCCAAGGCACATTGATCAGGACTATTTCTTAAAATTACAACTGGTGCCTCTAAAATTGATGTAAACTCTTTAAAGTCCTTTTGAAATATTCTAAGTACAGATTTTAAAGAAATTGCACCATTTCCTATTATGCTGATCTAGTTCAACCATCATATGATAATGAGCAAACCAAACAGGTTTGATTGCAAATGATGCATTACCATGACTTCAAATGATTTTACAAACTAATAGTTAATAACATGTGAAACTAAATTAGTGGCTATGTACTCTATGCACCTAGCCTGTGGTGGGAACTCTAGCTAATTCAAAGGCATGGCTCCAGTCTTTCTAATGGATTTGGTTCAGATTACACTTGTTTGTGTGTGTTTGTACACAGCAGATTGTACGACAGTATAAAACATAACTGCGGATGTTGGCAATCTGAAACAAAAACAGATTGCTGACCATTTTCCCTTTTTTATTAATCTGGTGTTTTAGTATCATTTTGATGTTTGCCCATTTTTGTTAACTTAAGAATGTAATGTTTTTTTAAAAATAAAAATGGTTTCAAGCCATTTGATTCACTGTAGCTCACTGCTTTAGAAAATGAGACCTTGGTAACAACTTCACTGTTTTTACTGTGTCCTGATGTTTGCCTTGATTGCTGTGTTTCGTGGATTATTTTGAATAAAATGCAAGTTAAAGGACTTATACACTTTAATGGTAAGGTCCTGGGGAGTGTTTCTGAACAGAGACCTCAGAGTGCAGGTTCATAGTTCGTTGAAAGTGCAGTCGCAGATAGATAGGAAAGTGAAGAAGGATTTTGGTATGCTTGCTTTTAACGGTCAGTGCATTGGGAGGTCATGTTGTGGCTGCACAGGACATTGGTTAGGCCATTTTTGGAATGCTGTATGCAATTCTAGCCTCCCTGCTTTAGAAGGATTTTGTGAAAACTTGAAATGGTTCAGAAAAGATTTACAAGGATGTTGCCAGGGTTGGAGGGTTTGTTTTATGGAGAGCTGAATAGGCTGGGACTATTTTCCTTGGAGTGTCAGAGGCTGAGGGGTGACCTTTTATAGAGGTTTATAAAATCATGAGGGGCGTGGCTAGGGAAATAGACAACGTCTTTTCCCTGAGTTTGGGGAATCCAGAGCTAGAGGGCACATGAGAGGAGAAAGATTTAAAAGGGACCTAAGGGGCAACTTCTTCACGCAGAAAGTGGTGAGTGTATGGAATGAGCTGCCAGAGGAAGTGGTGGAGGCTGGTACAATTACAACATTTTAAAAATCACTTACAATTACAACTTTTAAATGATTATATGAATAGGAAGGGTTTCGAGAGATGTGGGCCAAATGCTGGCAAATGGAACTAGATTGATCTAGGATATTTGGTCAGCATTGACGAGTTGGACCAAACGGTCTGTTTCCATGCTGTAGGTCTGACTCTATAAATACTTTCCCATTCATTTAATTCAGTTTCTTTCAAAATTAAAACTGAATTAGTTGCAAGTCAGAATTGCAAATTGCTACTGTCCCTGAGAAATGTCATTTTGCTTGTACAGCTGACTAAGTTCAGCATGCTTTTAGAAGTGGAAAGTTTGTTTTAATCCTGCTGGCCTACTTATGGATCTAATAGGTAATTGCTGTATATTGTAATGGCAAGCATGGAGAACAGCATGTGTAAATCGTGAACCTCCATTTCATGCTACATTCTCTTGTTATAAAAGAACTGTTTTTTTTTGAGCTACAGCTTTTCCTGTTGGTATGGAGTTTATCTAGAATTTACATCTGCTTGGAAATTTGGGTATTTATTGCATAGTTTGCATTTGTCCCTTTTTTTTTTTTTTGCAATTTTATAGTTTGTAATTTAGTTATCTGTTGGAAGCTTTTTAGTCAGTACTTCTACTTTAGTAAAGCTTTTTTTCTGTAACGCCTCTAGATAACGAGTATCATTCTACCTTGGTTGGCTTGTATTTGGTTGAGGTAAAATTTATAAATTAAAATTGCATAAAATTTACAGTGGCGGGAAAAGTGGTATTGATCAGACATTGTGGACAAGTTAATCAAATTTAAGTTATCCAAGGTAAATTTGGATGCAGTTTCCGTTCAGTATTACTCATTGCTCACTGTATGCACCCCATTCCCTGGCATTGGTTTGTTCTCGTGGATGCTGTTAAGATTTGCAGGCAAGCAATCTGCTAGTGAGATACGTAAGCTGGTCCTTGCTAGATTGCCAGGGGTTTTCTAAAAACTGAAGAAGGCTACTTTTACTGTACCTTTTTATTGGATCCAAAATTATATGAAGATTTTGTCCTTGAGGTACCTTCACTCCAGGATTTTAGTGTCTAGGAGTATTGTGGTTTCAGTGTCTGTGTACCTGATAACTACATCTCTTAAAAAGATATTTTAAAGCTATTTTTTCCCATGTTGTTACTTGTCTCCATTATATCTAATTTCAGGTAAAGCTCTTGGAAAACCTACTCCAAATCCTGTGCCATATGATAAGATCTTGAAGGACCCGGCTGCTGTCGCAATACAAGGACTTCCTGATGGCGTGTGTTTTAAGCACCCTTCAGGTTATGACAGTATGGCATTAAAAAAGATTTTGGAGCAAAAATCACAGATTGCATTTGTAATAAAGAGGTAAACATTCCCCTCAAGCTTAAATCTGAGTGCAAATTTCAGTTCCTATGATGAGACAAGTATAAATAATGAGCTGTAAGATGTAATGACGTGTCAGCCACATTATGAATGTTGCTGCAAAACGGTACCTGTCACGCCAAACTAAAAAAGTAATTTTTCATACAAAACTGCAGTGAGATTATACTCTAAATATTGTATAGCTACTGCGATTTGAAATAAATTTAGGTGGCTGTCTAACCACTAAAGCAAATGAATCTTTCGTTATCTTTTGACTCTGATTTTGTTTACCTGGTTTCTGACAGGTACTAGTCGAGCATTGAGGTCATTTTACTCTCTGTACTGATGTCAGTTCTTGGTAGTTAATTGAAAAACATACTATTGATGTGATACGCTGGATTATAAATAAATCGGGCATTACCTACCCTTCCTGAGGCTGCTTCATGAGCATTTTAACTTGGACTGTTCATCTTGTAATCATTGGTAGGTTTAACGCAATTGAATACTATTCTTTCTCTGTCCTTGGACTACCTCCTGCTTGGTGCTTTGTGGTGAAATGGAGGCAAATGACTCAAATTTTAAAGGATTCAAAAAATCCCATTTGCTGAATTATTCCCTGAGCTGTCTTTTATTTTTGCAAGTAAGTATTTCTCTGAATACTCAATTCACAAGCAGCAGTGAATGATGCAGGGTATTCAGATTTCTTTTCTGCAGCAGAGTAATATTTCTGAGAAAAAGATTTTAATAAAATGATGCAAGGCAACTTCAGTAGAGGGTTTCATTACTTAATTGTAACTGTGGAAATTCCTCACACTAAAGACAAATAATGTTTATTGGTCAGATTTAACCTGCCCAAAATGGAGTTGATCGAAACAGCGGTTAATATTAACACCAGAATTGCTTTTAAAAATAAATTAGCAGAGGGGGTCTAACTTCAAAGGCCAGTGGGTGTAACAGATGTCAAACTAAGCAAACTTAGTGAGTAACATGGTAATTATTATACATTAATGGGCACATACTCAACTTATTCACTTTTAACGAAAACTTGTGTTGCCAACATATAAGAATATAATCTGCGTAATTAGTCGTCCTGTTCATTCTGAGTTCACTTTGCTAATAAAGAACTCTTCTTTGAAGCTTGCTAATTATACTAGATGTCTATAAATGCATATATAACATGGTGATATTAAACATTTGTAAACTGCTGTGTTTTTAGTCAGCTGTCAATACAATGCAATCACTTTTTCTTTTAATCCAGGCCATTTCAGGATACTGCCATTCATCATGGTAAGTTACTTCTATGATGCATAATTCAGCATTCTTGTGTTACTTTTTTATTTGTAAACATGGTGTCATTTTCATAAATGTAGAAATAGGTGGTAAGTTTCTAAAGTTACATTCAAGTGGATGACTAAAAAAATCTTTCCACAGGATGTCTTAATGATCCATTTAGCAATTCAGTCCACAGTAAAACACTTTTTAAATTTTTAGAAAATCATTGACTTGTACAAGTTAAAGGATTTTCGGATTATTTTGGAAAGGATTCTGTGTAATATAGAAAATTGTGATTCTTGAGTGGTAATGTGGGGGATTAAGAAACCTAAGTATTAATTATATCAGTTAAAGGTGAGTAGGCACATGTGGGAATTGGTTGGAAAATCACTTTTTAGCGAATATAGAGATGTATTGACGCGATGGGAGCGGAGTCAAGAGATGATGTTTTGCTCTGAATCCCTCTTTATTCCAAGTGAATGAAACAAAGGACCATGGATGCTGGAGATCTGACAGGTACAAAAACCAAATATGCTGGAGAAACGCAGCAGGTTTGGCAGCATCAATGGAAAAGAAACAGTTCAACGTTTCAAGTCCAGTGACCCTTCAGAAGGGTATGACGACAGGTCACAGGGTATGACGACAGGTCACTGGACATGAAACGTGAACTGTTTTCTCTCCACGGAGGCTGCCAAATCTGTTGAGTTTGTCCAGTGGTTTCTGTTTTTGTAATTCCAAGTGATGATGGCTTTGGATTCTTCCTTCTCTACATGTCTGTCAAGTTATAAAATGATAGCAGAGAATGGCTGCCTAAAGGTGAAGATGGGAAATTAAGGGAAAGGAAATTCAGTAACTGAATGCTACAATCTAGTGGTCACTGTGGAAAATTGCAGAAAGCATGTGTAAATTTTCAAGGGTAGGTTTTTTGATGTTTTCTGAGTCTGAATGAAAAGACCAGTAGTAGAATGAAGTGGACAGGTTAGCACTGGTTACATCGCTACTAAAGAGAAAACTTGGCAGTCTTGCTTCTTAATGAAAGTAAATCAGAAGCAAAGTTTTGGAAGGGATAATAGGAATTGCCAATGCTGGAGTCTGAGATAACAAGGTGTGGAGCTGGAGGAACACAGCAGGCCAGGCAGCATCAGAAGGGCAGGAAAGCTGACGTTTCAGGTCTGGACCCTTCTGCAGAAATGCTTTAGAAAAGTTTTAAAAGCTGGGTGCCCATCAGTTCGATAATAGTTGAGGTTTGGATCTTCCGTTAGGCCTCCCGGATGACATTTACAAGAAAGATGATCGTTTTTTTGGATGTCTATGTGGCACAGCCAGCCTGAAGATTTTTAAAGACAAAGTGGTGCTCCACAGAGGAAAATACCATGGACTTTAACAGACTGTATGGAGGTGTAAAGAAGGTCAACTTAAGAGATCCCTGGTTCACTGTTGGCATTTACATAGTTGGATTGTGCAAGCTGTCACATGTAGACAGGTTCTTGGTTCTGTTTGGTTTTTGGTTTTCAGAGAGGTTCCTAGTTTTATCAGATGTATGCTGTCCTTGGTGGAACATGTGATATTCTGCTGGATAACAAAGACTAAGGACACAGTTACTTTGTTTTGAGATTGTCCAGGTACAGACAGGTGATGGATGATGAGGTAGTCTGTACATCAGTTACTTGTGTTTGTTGCCACGGTGGTGCGGAACAGAATGTGATAGATCAAGGACTGCGTGGATATGATAGAGCTGTCATGCAAAGCTAACTGCCTACAAGAGGAACCAGGTGAGTCTTGTGAATAGAGGGTTGTGACAAAGGTTGCATGTGCAAGAAAGGCTACTGGCAAGCTTAAATGGTAGTTAGTGTAGATTAGGATAATCGAGAAGTGAGCACTAGGAACTGCTAGAATCGGAAATGGAGTAGAACGGAGAGTTTTAGAAAAATGTGTATGTTCTAATAGTGAGTCTGAGTGTGACTCTTGTGTTAGAAAATGATCATGTACTTGAGAAAGGATCTGACCATGTGCAGGAGAGTGGGATGTTGCAATAGTAATCCTGAAATTCATCAAAGTGCAAGTAGAGGTTGTGGTTTGAATAATTTGGACAAAGAAATGAGAATTACAGAATATTCTTGAATTAGGACTAGAAGCCGAAGTCCTCCTGTCTTAGACATTTTGGTTGCTGTCAATAAAGCCGAGGTCAAATTGACACACCCATTTAAAGGCCTCGAATGTTAAAAACCTAGCTGAAAATAAGCAACATGTTTCATAGAAGGAGGGAGTATTCTCACCATCTATCTTCTACTTGCAAGTTTTACCCTAGAGTGTCTCTCCTACTCCATTTCTGCACCATTCAAGGTTGGAAGCCCCACCTGAAAATATGCAATATGTTCAGAACATAGAAAACTCTGTCAGTGGCTCATTTGTAAGGTTATGTAGTTGCTTGGAGTTCCGAAGAGAGGCTGGATGACAAGGATTTCCTTCAGGAAAGATAATCCTGACTCTCAACTTTAGCTCTTGACTGCATGAGTGTTATCACTTGACGCAAACACTGGTTTTCTGCAGGTGAGAACTTTGAGAGAACTTTTTCTGAAACTGCCAAAGAGGCAAACAATGCAGTGGGGATGTAGTGGGAATTAAATGAACACAGTTGTTTAAAGGGTGTGCAATTTTTCACTGATCTGTTTGCTGAAAATCAGCCATGCACATCGGAGAGCAGATCGTGTAGTGTTTTATAGCATGAAAGAAAATTAGAAGATATCTTGATGCATGTTAATTTATGATTGGATATTGCTGCAGAATTTGAAAAACGCTAGATTAAAATAAATCTCTGGGAGGTAGGTTTCTAGTGTTTTAAAATCTTATTTCTTTAGATTTAAACAGAATAGGTCCAGAGTAACTTTAAATTATCAATCCTATTTGGATATGTCAATTCTCATTCCAGTTAGTCCTGCAACATCGTAGAAAGATGAGATTGTGGTTGAGCCTGATTGGTTATGTACCCAGACAAGTGCAAAGCTAGTCTTGGTATGTTAAGATCACCTTCAGAAGTATCCTACTAAAGGCAAATAAATAATTTTTTAAAAAGCACATTCTTTGATTCACCCAAGGATAAAAACCTAAGGACGTGAAATTAGTAATTTTCAGTGCTGCTGTACATGCTAATTGCCCTGATGGATATTAGAGTGGGGGTGGTTTCTTAATTTTTGATTAATGAAAATGGGGCATGTAGTCCTTTAGTTGGGAAGTTAAGGAAGTAATTAGATTCTTACATGCACTTTTAGTTGAAGAAGTACTGATTCCTGTGTAGATAATTTATGCTTTAAGAGAAATTCTCTGCATAGGACATGCTGAAGATAATTTGCCCATTATAGATATGTAGATTAATTGTTCTTTATGGAATAGGATTCACTGTTTTACTACTTGTAAAAGATCAAGTCTTGATCATGATATGTTGTAATAAATGTTGGAGAGAAAGGAAGTCTTCAAGATGAAATGTCTTGATGCAAGTTATCTGTGGTAGATGTGATCTAAAAAGAAACGCCCTGTACTAAGAAGTTGTCCAGGGTTCCAAATGAGAAGTGTTTCGTAATATTAGATTTAGATTTTATTGTTGTGTACTGGAGTACAGTAAAAAGTGCACAAAGTTGCCATTCTCTGGCGCCATCTCAGTATATGAAAGATAAGATTAAAAACCAAAACAGAAATAAAAGGAACAGCCAAAAGAAAAGGAAATGTCTAGGTTACTCCCTGCCTCCTCCATGAATCCTTGCTAGCAGAAAAACAAAGCCACAAAGTCCATCCCTCAGCTGTAAACACTGAGGTGCCCTTGAACCCTGCACTCTGCTGCAGTCAGAACCTCCACCGTTTTTGCCGTCGGATAGCCGGGCCCTGCCATGGCCTGTAGCTGCACCGCCAGTGCTGGAACCATGTCGCTGTTCTTGGGTACCATCCACCAGTGCCGTTGCTGCCATGGGTTTGTGCTGGACAGAACTTGGCAATGCAGCCTCTACTGAAGCTGCTGGGGCCCAAACTCAATGCTGCATCCACAACACCGAAGCAGCTAGTGCCTTTTCTGGCTTACGTTGCTGCCGCTGCCACCTCCTGTGACTGCCACTTCAGCAAAGAAACCCACTGCTGCCGACCCACCAGGAAGGAACTGCTCCCCCCCTCCAACTCTGTTTTTGTGAACAGCATTTGTTCTTCAATTCCCTATACTGTGAAAGCAGTGAAATATGAAACAACCTTCAGGATGTTGGAAGTGTATAATTAGTCTCCCAAATAGCAGCTGTAATATGTCATGTGCACTTTATCCAGCATTGCATTTCATTGCATAGCCTAATTCTGAAGATGGAAGGTGAATACACTCAGTCACTAGATGAGCTCACCAACAATGCAGTATCTAAAAAAGAAAGATGCTGTACATTTATAAATAACCAACCTCTTGAAAATATCAAATGAGTTTGGTGACTGGAGCGGGGTTGTCCACTTCCCTCACGAGAGAGATGGGAATTTATGTAGAACTTTTTAATTTACTTTTCACATGTACCTTGGAGGTAGGAAACATATTCCAATTACAGTCCTAGATTTGGCCAAATCATTTGAGGCTGACCTGACAAAAATAGCCAAAGCAATGTCTTGGTCACTGTTTGATGGTTTATTGGCAACTCTTGTCAATCACTGTTCATTTGAGCCAAACACTGATTCTGCAGCTACCAAGAGCTTTGCTTCTGAAGATGGCTGTGAACCAAGGGGTTAAACTTCTCCATGTTGAGTTTTGTGATAGGCAAAGGATATGACACATTACTTAGAAGTATGTGATTAATTGCTATGAAACCCATGTTGATATCATGTAATTTATAGATTTGATTAAAAAAAAAAATCATCTTTGGATATATTTGTATATTTTAGTGAAGTTTTGATGGCCAGTCTATGCTTGTCACAAATACACCCCTCCCCATGTGTATCCACTTTGCTGACTCATACGCTAAGATACTAAATGATAGCAGCTGGTTCCTCATAAACCTGTAAGGATGAAATGTAGGAATTCCTATATAATGAAACCAGATCAGTCTGCTAGCAAAACATTGACATTGAATTTGGACAATATTTTTCTATAAACTCCATTTTTCATTTTTCAGCTTCAGTCTGTTAACTGACAGTCTGACTGATCCTCCTGCAGTTTTAGGGCTGTAAGTTTGAATTGACCAGAAACTGAACAGGACCAGCCATTCAAATTCTGTGGCTACAAGAGCAGGTCGAGACAGGGAATTCTGCAGTGTATAGCTCCCACCTGATTTACCAAAGCCACCCGCTATCTACAAGGCATAAGTCAAAATTGTAATGGAAAGCCACTCACTTGTTTGGGTGAGTGCAGGTTTAACAATATACAAGAAGTTAGACACCACACCATCTGGTACAAAGCAATCCATCCACCACCTTTTTCAAAATTCACTCCCTTACCACTGATCCACAGTAATAGCATCCACAAGATGCATTCCAGCATCTTACCAAGGTTCCCTCAATGGCACTTTTCAAACCTGCAAATTCCTCTCAAATCTGTATACCACCCTGACTTGGAACTATATCATTGTTCTTTCATTGCCATTGGATTATGATGCTGGAACGCGCTTCCCAAAGCACTAAGCAATTTTTTTTCTCTCTTTGTCTCTGTGTCTGTCTTTCTTTTTTTTTCCTTCTTTCTCTCCCTCCCTGTCTGTCCTTTTCCCCCACCCCGAGCTCTGTCTCCTAGCCCCTCCTGTTTCTTCCTCTCTCCCCAACCTCCCTCTCTCTGTCTCCCTCTTGCCCACCCCCCTCCTCTTCTCTCTCTCTGTCTCTGTCTGTTCTCCTCACTCGCAAAATGGAGGGCAGTGCTTTGCTACTGCTTGCAAGGGCAATTGAGAATGATCAATAAATGCTAATGCTTCCTGTTATCCTTGAATGACTATTTTTAAAGAATGTTGTTTGCCAACTTGATTATTTATTTTGAAATAAAAGGTTTCAATTTGAGTTTTTCAAATCCAATTGCTGTGTGTGGGCAAGTTACTCACATGTAAATATTTCTTTTTGTAGTGGAAAAGAAACAGCCAACTGGAAAAGAAAACTCTCAGATGCCACCTGCCAGGTGAGAAGGGAAATAAAGGACAATATGTCTGTTAACTTTGTGGCAATGCTTAAATTGTCCATTCACCCTATGATCTTGTTTTCTTATCCTCAACTATCTCTTCCTCCTATTCTTTTCCTCCTCCCCTCTTCCTGCTTTTCCCTTTTTAGCCACTTCATGTTTCATCTGGGATTTCTGTTTCCTCTATATGCCTGTGATCTGTCTGTCACCTGACTTTCTCTTTGCGTTCTTCCATTCTTTGACTCTGCCTCTTTTCCCTTCATTCTGTCTGAAGGTCTCTCTCGTTCTGTCTGTATATTTTTCTTTCCTCTTCTCTTTCACTGTCTCACTCTCCCATTGCTTACGGCTTTTGCTGTCCCATTTCCCTTCTGCATTCCTCTGCTTTTATTGTTTTTCACTTGCTGTTTTTTTCCCCCCTGTTAACTGACTTGTTCACTTCATTCTTTTTCTGCATTTCCATCCACTTGCCCAAATTATTGACGAGTAGTCCTATTGTGTTTTTAACAGCATGAGTACTACCTAGAACAGTACAACACAGGAACAGGCCCTTTGGCTCACCTATGTGTGCGCTGACCATGGTGCCGTTCTAAACTAAGACCATCTGCCTGAACATGGTCCTTTTCCATCTATTGTCTGCTTGTTCATGTTGCTTCATAATGCTTCTTAAGTTATCGTATCTGCTACTGCCACCTCATGTGGCAAAGGTTCCATGCACTCGCCATCCTCTGTTTTTAAAAAAAAAGCTTACCTTGCATATCCCTTTTAAACTTTCACCTCTCACCTTACACTTATGCCACCTAGTATTTGACATTTTCATCCTGGGAAAATGACTCCCAATACCCGCCCTATCCATGCTTCTCATAATTTTATATATTTATTATCAGATTGCCTCTTAGCTTTTGACACTCTAGTGAAAGCAACAAATTTGTCCAACCCCTGCTTATCACTACTTTAATCCAGGCAACAATCCTGTAAATCTCTGTTGCACCCTCTCAAAAGCCTTCACATCCTTCCAATAGTGTGGCAACCAGAACTGCACGCAGCACTCCAAATGTAGCCTAACTAAAGTTTCATATAGCTGCACCGTAATTTGCCAGCTTTTATACTCGATACCCTGACAGATGAAGGCAAGCATGCAGTTTGATGCCTTTATCATCTTATCCAATTGTGTTGACACTTTCAGCGAGCTATAGACGTACATACCCAAGATCCCTCTGTATATCAATGCTCCTAAGGGTTCTGCCTTTTACAGTATACTTTCTTCTTGTGTATAATCTCCCAAAATACATCATCTCACACTTGTCCAGACTAAACTCCATCTGCTATTTCTTGGCCCGATTTGTGTGTGTGTTTTTTTTTTCCCAAACTGATCTATACCCTGCTGTGTCTTTTGACAACTATACTCACTGTCCACAACTCCCAACTATTTTTGTGTTGTCTGCAAACTTGCTAATCGGTCTTTCTACATTTGCATCCAAATTATTCAGTTATCTTACTGACAACAGAGGTCCTAGCACTGATCCTTGCAGAATGCCACTGGTCACAGAACTTCAGTCAGAAAAGCACCCCTCCGTAGCTACTCTGTCTTTAATGACTAACCCAATTTTGTATTCAACTTACCAACTCGCCATGGATCCTATGTGAATTAGTCTTCTGGACCAACTTGCTACGAGGGATCTTGTCAAATACTTCAGTAAAGTCCATGTAGATGACATCCACTGCCTTCCCCTCATTACTTGTCTTCATCACTTGCACAAAAAATTCAAATTTTGTGAGATAAAACCACCCCTGTGAAAAGCAATGCTGGCTGTCCCTAAAAAGGATACAAAAATCTCTGTCAAGACCCCAGCAACCTCCTCCCTTACTTCCCTCAGTATCATGGGATAGATCCCATCAGACTTGGGGACTTATCTACCTTAATGTTTTTCAAGACAATCAACGCCACCATCACCTTGGCAAATATCAGCATATTCCTCCCTAATGTTATCATCATCCATGTCCTTCTTGGTGAATACTAATGCAAGGTACTGATCCTAATCAGACCTCACGTACTTCCTCTGCCTCCACACATAAATTCCCTCCTTTTAGTCCTTGAGTGGACCTACCCTTCTCACCTTTTCTCTAACTATCCTCTTGCTCCAAATATATATAAATAGTGCCTTGGGATTCTCCTTAATCCTACTTGCTAGATTCCTTTTAGCTGTCCCAATCCCTTGTTTAAGTTCTTTTCTGCTTTTATATTCCCCAAGGGCCTTGAATTTTAAAGTTTTATAGGCACTCACGGATGGACTTAGCATTATCCAGGAAGTGGAAGTGGTTGGGGCAGAGCTGAGAAATGGTATAGGGAAGAAGTTTTTTGGGGAGTGGGGTACAGCTTCCCTAACAATATCTGCAGTAGAATATTGTAAAAGGGAAGAAATAATGGGAACTTGTCAGAAAGGTGTGTTGATAATCATGGGCAAATTTAGTGTGTCTGTATACTGAGAAACTTGTTCAGCAACGGTGACCTAAATGAGGAGAGTTCATAGGATGTTTATGGAATAGATTCTTATGGCATGGTTTGGAACTCACCGAAGATCAGACTACACTAGACCTGGTATTTGTGCCATGCGATTCGCTTAATTAATGACCTCTTAGTAAACACACTCCTAGGTTGCAGTCATCATAATATACTGTTTGGAGGAGTTAGGGGTAGGTCCAAGATTCCAATCTAAACTTGAATAAGGGCAATGATGAGGGCATGAAAGCAGAACTAGCTAAAGTGAACTGGGCAAATTGGGTTAAGGGATTGGTCCGGAGAGATAGCATGGCTGACATAAAAGGAGATAAATTCCAAATGAGTAAAAACTTCCAAGGAAGTGTTCATCATCTGTGACTTTAAAATAATGCTAAAGTTAACATCAAACTTGAAACAACCGCATATATTTCACAAAAATGGGTGACAGATCAGAAGGTTGAATACAAACAAACATGACTGCAAGATTAATATGGGTGAAACTTGTATGAGAAAGCAGAATAACAAAGTTCAAGTGAGTATTTAAAAAGGAAAAGAGTTAAAATGAACCTGGATCCTATGTAAATTGAGTGGGGAATTATTGGTACATAAGGAGAAGTCAGATTACTGGTGATTTTGTATTGCTCATCACTGTAGAGGATATAAGTAGCATAGAAATAGCTGTGAATCAAGAAACTGAAAGGATAGTGGTACAAAACCTAACAATCATTAGGAAAGTGGCACTCAGTGAATTGTTGGAGTTGTATTGACAAGTCCCCTGGCCTTCATCTGGGGTCTTAAAAGAAATGACTAGTGAGATGGATGTTTCCTTGGTCCTGATTTTACAAAATCCTTAGATTTGGATAAGGTTGCATTAGATTCGACGGTAAATATTTATTTAAAGTGAGGGAGAGAGAAGGCTTGAAACTACTGTCTAATTAGCTTAACATCTGTCAGGGAAACTTAAAAAACTGTTATTTATGCTACTGTAGCAGGCCAATTAAAAGAGAAGCACGATAATAAGACAGAATCAGCTTGGTTTTGTGAAAGGGAGATGCTGCCAGACCTGCTGAGTTTCTCCTCATTTTTGGTGTTTCTTAGAGATCTGGACGGGTTAAGTGCCTGGGCAACGAAACAAGAGATAATGTGGGCAAGAGTGAGGCTGTTGACTTTGAACATCTAAATTCACACATTTATTTATCTTATAAAATGTATTTTTTTTTTATTGTTATGACCAGAGAGACTTTGTACTCTTACAGTCAACAGTTGGTATGTAGAAGAGCAAGCGCTAAAAAAGTGAATGGCATGTTAGCTTTAATTACAGTAGGATTGAAGTGGAGGAATAAAGAAGTATTTTGTTATATTTTTTACAGGACATTGGTTAAGACTAAACCTGAAGTGCTGTGTGCAGTTTTGGTCACCATATTTAAGGAAGGATGTACTAGATTAGTGCCTGAGATGAGAGGATTGCCCAGTGATATATTGAGTAAATTGTCCTAGTTTAGAAGAAAGAGGTGGTTGCATTGAAACAGACAATATTTTCTAGTGGCATGACCGGGTAGATACTGAGAGGCGGTTTTTTTTCTGGCTGTGATCTATAACACAATGGCATAATCTCAGAATAAAGAGGTAACTTTATGGATTTAAGTAAGGCGTTTGATAAGGTTCCCCATGGTAGGCTGATGCAGAAAGTAAGGAGACATGGGATAGGGGGAAATGTGGCAGATTGGATTCAGAATTGGCTGACACTTAGAAGACGAAGGGTGGTAGTGGACGGAAAATATTCAACATGGTGCTCAGTTACGAGTGGTGTACCACAAGGATCTGTTCTGGGTCCTCTTTTGTTTGAGATTTTTGTAAATGATTTGGATGAAGGAGTGGAAGGGTGGATTAGTAAGTTCACGGATGATACGAAGGTGGGTCGAGTTGTGGATAGTGTGGAGGGCTGTTCTAGGTTACAAAGGGACATTGATAGGATGCAGAGCTGGGCTGAGAAGTGGCAGATGGAGTTTAACCCTGAAAAATGTGAGGTGATTCATTTTGGAAGGACAAATTTGAAAGCAGAATACAGAGTTAACGGAAAGATTCTTGGCAGTGTAGAGGAGCAGAGGGATCTCAGGGTTCATGTCCACAGTTCCCTGAAAGGTGCCACCCAGATGGATAGAGTTGTTAAGAAGGCGTATGGTGTGTTAGCATTCATCAATAGAGGGATTGAGTTCAAGAGCCGTGAAGTTATGGTCCAGCTATACAAAAGCTGGTTTGGCCAGGTTCGGCCACATCTGGAGTATTGTGTCCAGTTCTGGTTGCCTCGTTATAGGAAAGATGTGGAAGCGTTGGAAATGGTGCAGAGGAGATTTACCAGGATGTTGCCTGGAATGAAGGGAAGGTCTTACGAGGAAAGGTTGAGAGAGCTAGGGCTTTTCTCTTTCGAACGACGAAGGATGAGAGGTGACTTGATAGAGGTGTACAAAATGATCAGAAGTATAGATAGAGTGGACAGCCAGAGACTTTTTCCTAAGGTGGAGGTAGCTATTATGAGGGGGCATAGTTTTAAAATGAGTGGAGGTAGATATAGGGGAGATGTCAGAGGTAGGTTCTTTACTTGGAGAGTGGTAGGGGCGTGGAATGCATTGCCGGAGAGGGTAGTGGAGTCATCCTCATTAGGGGCATTTAAGCGGCTATTAGACAGGCATATGGATGATAGTATAAGGTAGGGGTGGAGGTTAGGTGGACCTTAGGTTTAGGGTAAAAGTTCAGCACATCCTTGTGGGCCGACGGGCCTGTACTGTGCTGTACTATTCTATGTAACCATTTAGGACTGAGATGAGGAAAAATATCTAAACTCCAAGGAGATTTGCATCTTTAGAACTCTCTGGGTGCTCCATCATTTAATATGTTTTAAGTTGGGATAGACAAATTTTTGGACACACCAAAATATATGGGAATGCACAGCTAAGTAAAATTGAAGCCCTAAGTTAGCCATGAATGCATTGAAAATGTTGGTTTTATTTTATAGCTTTGTTCCAGTTCAGGTGAAAACAGAGCCATCTGATGACAGCCAACCTAGTAAGTGCTACTTCTTGAAATTCTCAATGCAGTATGCTTTTTATTGAAGAAAAAAAACAAATCAGTGTTGTATCAGTATCCACTGAAAGTTTCTGCATTGTATTTTTAATGCTAACTTGTGTCCTTGTTACTTTCTTCTGAATTTACTGGTGTTCAGTGAAAATATGATCATTTCTCATGCATTTGTGGTGCTGAATAGGTGGCTCTCCTGCCTCTTGAGCAGGAAGATCCTGGGTTCAAGACCAATTCTAGGGATTATTGGCTGCAAAAGAACCCAGCCATTGGTGAAGGCAGGCCACTATTATTGCTGGTTCACATCCCAGACAAATGAAAAGGCTTTCGGCATCTAATACAAAAGCAATGATAGTTTATATGAAAATGATTGGATGCTGTGATGAGTGACAGGGTAATGGGAGAAGCTGAAAACAGAAGGTAGTCATTGCATCTAGCATTAACAACTGTCAAAGTAAAAGAATTTGATATTTAACACAGTTTAATAGGATTGCAGATCTGTTTCAGATGAGATGACTGTAATGCTCATTTTAATTGTTTCACCCAGAAAGCTTAAAATTTGCTAATTCTAGGATTTTCCATTCCAAAGCATCCTCAGTTGTATTCCTTCAATATCTGTATTCTGTTTAATACTGTATTTCTTCAATATTATAATCTTACTGTGCAGAATCTCTTTCGAGCCCCTTTTTTGTTTTAAAACCAAAATAAATAAAACACTGTTGCAGCCTTTGTTAATACCCTGACTTTCCTCCAAAGAACCTGGTTAACATATTGGATGCAACTTGCAACAAATCTATGACTACCCTGGAGAAACTTCAGTTATGAGGAAGATAAAGATGCTTAATTTTCCATTGGCAAAGGTTTAAAAAATCTGATTGAGGTGTTCAAAATTGAGAGGCTTATAGTAATATTAACAGGGCCTCAACTGAAGACCCAATGCCAGTGGAATGAAAGGAGAGGATAAACTTTTCTTTTACAAGTAGCATTTTAGGCATGACATGCCTTAATAGAAACTGGTGTAACTAGATGTCGTAATAGCTTTTAAAAGGGAAGTGGGGAAAATATATATTGAGTGGGGCAAGAGCGTGAGACCCTATGGGAAGATATTTCAAAGAACCAGTGGGATGTGATTGCACTTGTTCTATAATGAGTCTATAAACATCTACCTCAAGTTACAAGGATGATGAAGTATGCTTAAAATAGGCACTAAACTCATTTAGAGATAACACCATGTGGAGCTGGAGGAACACAGTTGGGCAGGCAACATCAGAAGAGCAAGAAAGTTGACGTTTCGGGTCGGGACCCTTCTTCAGAAATCGACTTTCCTGCTCCTCTGCTGCCTGGCCTGCTGTGTTCCTCCAGCTCCACACTGTGTTATCTCTGACTCCAGCATCTGCAGATCAGCATCTCTGAGTAAACTCATTTTAATGTTTGAAGTAGTTTAGATTGGTGTACTTTTAAACCCTTAAAATTCTCAGCTATTTAGTATTGTGAACAGAGTGAATTGGTAAACTAGCATCAGCTGATTGTGTGTATTAAATTTCCACTTCAAATGAGACAAAATGGGCTATATTGAGGAGGTGTTCTATTATGTTTTTCTATCACATAGTTGTATGTCATTTATCAGCTATGAGTTTACGTTGAAAGTTCTGACAACAAACATTTTTGAGGGCAGCAAATGTAAAGTAGCTAGTAAGTGGTCCCAGAATTGCTGCTTTTGATTGTTGAGTTCCATGTATAATTGAGGGTCAGTTGACTTGTTGGTGAAGCAAACGTTGCACTTGGCTGTGGCTAAATAGTCTACTGGCATTCATTATGAGGACCATATGTGACTAGTGAACACTTGAATAAATGGGGAAGAGTTCTGGTGTCTGCACTAGTCCCTGCAGAAGATGGAGAATGGGCGAGAAATTAATTTCTTGTTTGAGTAAACTCTTTATAAAATTAGATTTGGTTGTATAACATTTTCATATCTGAAAATTGTTTCAGGCACATCTGTTGAACCAGTTGCAATCAAAGCAGAGCCAGAAGATCCAGATTATTATCGATACAGTGTTCAAGGTAACATGGAAATCCAGTTTACAGTGCTCTCTCTTGGCACATGTGACTAGCTATATGTTCAGTCTGATTTTATGAAATTATCTTATTTTTCTGTACCTGCCTGTTATTAAAAACATTGGATTCGTGGATGTTTTTGTATGCTGTGTAATAAAGCATTTCTTTAGTCCATCTGAGTTGGTTTATTGCAACATCTGACTGATTCTATTAATTTGAACACCTTTTGAATCTGCAACGACTTCAGGCAAGAAGGTGATCATGAATGGGGCAGAGCAAGTATGCAGAAAAGAAGCATAGGTAAAGAAAGTGTGAAAGTGGGGAAAAAAGGCAGACCAAGTTATCTTAAGTGAGAACAATATAATAGTGATGGCAGGAGAGGCAGAAGATGGGGAAAGAGAACTGGGATGGGGAGCACATACAAGAATCAAATAGTTATAAGGTGGTGAGGCAGTGCTCTGGAGAACACAATTACAGTGGAAAATGGGCAAAGGAAGATGGTGAAATGTATGAAGTGACAATGGTAGCTCATGCTGAAAACAAGCAGAAGTTCTCTATTGATATATAAATAATAAAATGGATGTAAAAGGAGGAGTGCGGCCAAGTAGGGGATTTGTGCATGGAGGCATTGGCATTGCTGAGGTATGAATTGAAAACTTTGCATTTGTCTTTGCAGTGGAAGAATGCTGCAGGCCATGGTGTAAGAGGAGAAAATGTAACTTCTTAAAGGCTTTAAAACTAATAAGGAGATGGTACCGGAGAGACTATACTCAAAGTTGATAAGGCAACAAGACTGAATGAGGTGCATCCAAGCATGCAAAATTGGCCAAGTGATAAGAAATAGAGTTGTGGCTAATGGACATTCCTCAGAGGGGAGAAACATTTATAATGCAGTTCCTGAAGCATTGGTGTTAGAACCTGTTCTCTAGATTTATATATTAATGATCTAGGCTTGGATGTACATGGCACAATTGTGAGAAAGATAGTGCAGAACTCCAAAAGGCTGTTGTGAGGTTGGTAGATTGATTGGACTAATACCAGATGAAAAGTAATGCAGGGAAGTGTGAATTGATAAATTTTGGTATGAAGGATGGGTGGCGAAGGGAAAGCAAAGGGTATGGCGGATTCCCAGATGAGAATTTTGGATACAGTAGCCTGATGCTTGATAGCAGGAGTTGGGGGGAGGTGTTCATCGTCAGAGAGCTGGCACTGGGCCTTTGCAGTCAGTAGGTCAATATGCCAGATGACAGCTTTGACAGGCTTGATTACAAAGTCAGGGTCAGATCCAAGAGCCTGGAGTGCAGCAAGTGTTGGAGGCAGGTGAAGGGCTCTGAGGGACAGGGAGAAAATCCATCCGAAGAAGTGGGTGTGGAGACGATGGGAGAACAGTTTCAATGTTACATGCAGAGGGATCAAACTAAGGTCTTTGCTGAGTACAGAACATTCAGCATCAGTTTGTGGAAGGTCAGAAGGGATTGTAAATGCCTTGACAAGAAGTGGGTTAGGAGAAGAGGTTGAGTCAGAGGGAAGGAAGATGCCAGAGGGTTGTGACTACCTTCAAGATGTGCAGCTGTGGTTCTTAATTGCCTGAAATGAAGAGAAAATAATTTTTGTTAGAACATGAATGAGCTGAATAATGAAGTGGAACTGGGATGCTGGTCATCTTGAGATAGCATGAGATGGTGCTAATGGAGAGAGAGAGGTCAAGAGTGTGCATTTGGCGGCACATAGCGCTGAGTGTGGATCTTGGGATGCGGCAGGAACAGCTCTCTGAGGAGCATTGTACATCACAGAGACACATGTGGTCCTGGGTGGATTTGCAATATGAGGGATGAAACTTAGATTCACCCCATGTGGATTTCAACTGAGATGTGGCTGTGGAAGCATGCTTTGGCAAATACCTTGTCAAACATTAGGAATGAAAACGAAAGTAACGGTGAACAAGAAGAAAGCTTGCAACAAATCCCGTTGGAAAGAGAAGCAGAAATTTAAGGTGGGCATACTTGGAGATGATGTGGCAGTGAATTAAACACTAAAATAAAACACAGAACTGTGGATGCTGGAAATGTAATATGAAAACACACATTCCTGGAGAAACTCGAAGTCTGGCAGCATCTGTGGAAAGAAAACATTTAAATGACCGTTGTTCCAGAACTAGGGTGGGATGTTGGACTTTGTGTTGCACGTGACAGTAGTTTCTTTGAACTTCTTGATTTTTATTTGCGTGTCCGGGAGAGATTTCCCAGACTGATGCACTCACCTAAATTATCCTAGAATTAAATATGTTTGTCTGTCCCAGAAAATTGAGTGTGTTGGGGGAAATTGATTCATAAGTTTCAATCCATCATCAATATGGAACAAGTTTAATTCATTCAGGGTTTTTTGTATTTTTTTTTTCACAAATTTATGCAACTTTATAAATGCATGTTGTAAATTGTTTTTGTTTTTTCAAACAATTTGCATGTTTTTATGACCAGGGCCTAGTGCAACTACTTCAGAAGCCAGTGATACAGAGGCAGCTCCCCAATCAAAGTCTTATCAAGGTAATTATTTTTCTGAATTATATTGACATGTATTCTACAAAGACCATTTGAGTGATTTTGAAAATTAAAGATGCATAATTCGCCTATGAGCTGATTTAATTACATTTATGATCTTTTTGTGCTCCTGCACAAAATTGGTAGTCTGTGTTCTCCCAAATAAGTATTTTTACTGTTGCTTTCTATCTGTTAGCATGTTAGCTGGCGAGGAGTTGATGGGGATGCTGTGGAAATTGTTTGCAACTTGGATCATGTTTACTGTGATCTCCATCTCTAGCTTGATGCGGAATGAGGACTTTTTCTTCAATCAGTAGAATTTTTTGTTCCTGCATTTTGGCATTTATTTAAGCATTTCATGCTGCTTTAAGTGCACAGTTTCAGTGTGTTTGACAAAACACCATTCCTATTCTTGTTTGTTTCGTTGGTCCTCAATGTCTTGGACATAGAGTTCTCAACCTAAACTCTGCAACCTCTGTAGCCCCTGACATCCCTTTCATCTCCTTTGAATGATCGGTTTTTATGACTCTGGCCCTATACACATCTCTCATCTCTTGCCACCTCTGGACATTATATACCTTTTGCTAACTTGATCCCATGCTCTGGAATTTCATATCTCACCCCCTTTTGTCTATATAACTCCTCCCTCATGACTTGTTTAAAACCCATCTCTTCAACTAAATTTTTGGTCACCCATTGTAACATCTCCTCTGGTATAACGTTCATTTTTTTTTTCTCTTCAAATCCATTATGTGCCTTTTCTATAATTTCACATGTTAAATACTTTATATAAATGCAAATTCGACTGGACGTCAAATTGCATCATAGCTGCTTTTGAAGAGCGGTCTAGTGTAGGTGTTGTAGGTTAAGTGAATGCATCCTCCGCCTATTGTGTGATTTATGTAAAACCTTGAACTTGAAGTAACAGAAATTCTAACTGGCTCTGAGCATGATGGGCAGTGTTCACCCTCCTGGATCAGGATGTGATGTGAAGGCTTCAAGGACTTTACCGTTGGTGGCCCGGATGAGCAAAATGATGAAATGCTTGGATGGAAAGAATGCCGATAATGATCAATTCTTGTAGACCGTCGATTTTTAGTTGAGGTTTGGAATGGATTGACGAGCAGTGCATCAGAAATTTTATTCTCTCTGCATTTTCACCTCCGAAGCCTCTATTCCAACAATTTGAATTGTAAGAATGGTGAACCGAGCCTGGCTTACAGGTGCAGAAATGATATCTACTGATTATGTGAAATGGTTGAAATTGGTGGACAAGAATGAAAACTGCCTTTTATGGACAAGATGATTTACACAAACAAGGCATTGGCAATAAAATCTAGATTTATTTGTAACCTTAAATGATGACCGCATACAGTAATGTTTTCCTATATGATCAGCCTGCCATTGGTAAAGTATTTTGTAATGTGTAGAACTATTTGTCTATTGTGTACTGTTTTAAAGTGTTGTATGTTCACAATTTCATTTGTCAAGCTAACTAGCAGGCTAGGAATCTAAATGTACTAACGAAATAAAAATCTGCATTTTTATAGTGCTTTCCATGACCACAGTGTCCCAAATCACTTTATACTGCGCTCTACTTGTGATCTGTAACCACTGTTGTCCATCAATAAACATGACAGCAAACTCCAGCAGACCAGCATTGTGACAATAAGTAGATCATCTTGTGATGAATATTGGCCAAGAGCCGGGAGAGGAGATCCTGCACTTCTCCTCAAAATATTTTGGGATCTACTATGTTAAACCGGCAAAACGGAGGGGGTCTCGGCCATCTCATTAAAAATGACTCTGTGACTATGAAGCACAAACACAAGTACAGCACTAAAGAGTTATCCTAATTTTGTGTTTAAATGTTTGGAGGGATTTGAATTTAGGATCTTTGACTCTTTAGGCAAGAATGTTGTGAAGGTGGGTAATTGAATATACCTAAGGAAAAGATGGAGAGATTCTTGTTAGGTAGGGGAATATGAAGATGAGAATGTGAAACACAAAACACAATCCAATTGGCCGTAATGCTATTGAATGGCAGAGCAGGCTCGAAAAGCCAAATGATCATCGAATGCTTTTATTTCATATGTTCATAAGGCTGCTACCGACTGAGCTGCACCTCCTGCCTGTGTCAGAGGAGCTAACTGCAAGACTTCGAGGTCATGTCATCTTCATAGGTGTGGAGGAACCCACCTGCAGTGCTTGTCATCTAGCAATCTTTAAAAATTTAAGATTGATTCCCTTTTAGAGAAGGACCAGTTTCCCTCAGTTAGTCAGTCATTTGTCCATGTCGTGATGTTTATTAATCTGCAGCATTCCTAAGGGTCCCATGGTGCTGCTGTACTTGGATATTTACCTTGGCTTTGCGCGATCAACTTTAATCGTATGGAGAATGTGTATCTGTTTTCTGTTTGCTCCCACCCCCACTTTTGTCCTTGTGATTACAATTCAAAACCAGGTAGTTGCAGCTGATTGCAATCTTTTAAGTGGCTGACCAGAATCTGTACAAATTCAGATTCTGTTTTAAGTCACTGCTTTGACTCTCTTCCATTTTCATTTTGTGTTTTCTGTTTAATCTCGTTGGTGTTGCCATGCTCCTGATATTTTTTAAAGCAGCGTGTTTTATTGTCCCAATGCTTGCTCCCACTGGGTGGTGCCATAGTTCCTGTAGTAGAACTTGTACTGTTCAATAAATCCTACATTGTTTCAACAATAATTGCAAAGAAAAAAACATAAAACCTAGTTTATTGACACTAAGTTTAAGCTATGGAAAGATTCATGGGTATTTCCAAATAGCAGTATGTGTCCCATCATTTTGGAGATTCGGGGGAAGTATTGCACAGGTGACCATGAATATAAGAAACTTGAGCAGTCGAAGAGTATGCAGCTTATCAAATCTGCTCTGCCAGTCAGTAAGTTGTCAGCTTAAGAGATGGGAAGGACTTAGCTTTGTGAGATACTTAACAAGTACTATGTATTGATGTTGAGCAAATGAAAAGATGCTGGCAAAATATCGATTAAAAATGTTGAGGGTCGAGATAATGGATGGGGTGGAAATTGATGGGCAGGATATGATGGCAAGACTGATTAAAATTGCCTGGTCTATTTGACTTGCATCGCATGCTACTAAAGGAAGTGCTGGTGAAAATAGTGGATTGTGGCAAGTAATAGTGCCTGGTTCTTTAATGTCTCTCTTCCTTTTTTATACATTTTGAAGTTAACAACAGTCTGGGGAAATAATGGGGTATCAGGAAATGATAGATCTGTTGAATAAACACCCTATTAGTCTTCATAGCCGAAGACATCTCTAGCATTTCAAAAAAGTCAAGGCAAAAGGGGGAAAGGAAAAAAAATACAGTAAGTATCCTTGCAGAAAAAATGCTAGGGAAACCAATGGGGTTAAAGATTAATAAGTCCCCTGGTGCATCCTAGGAACCAAGTAGCTATGGAGATAGTGAAGATATCCTATTTGGAGTAATCTTCTGAGAATTCGTAGATTTTTGGAAAAACTGCAATGATTGGAAAACTGCTAATATAAAAGGGAAGGAGAAAAAGAAAGTAATTGTCGGCCAGTTAGCTTGTTTGTTATTGGGAAATTGTTAAGGTCTGTTCTGAAGAACATAATACCAGAGTATTTAGAAATGCATACTGTGATCGAGCAGGGTCAGCATGGCTTCATGAAAGGCAAATCATGCCTGACAAATTTACTCAAATTCTTTTGAGGAAGCAAAAGCAGGATAGATAAAGGGCTAACAGTGGATGCAATTTATTTGGGTTTACAGGTGTTTGATAAGGTACATGTTAGGCTGCTTAAGATCGGAGCACGTAGTGTTAGAAATAATATATTAGCATGGATAGAGGATAGGCCAAGTATTTGATGGAGAATTAGGATTGGGGGGGGTGCAATTTCAGGATTGCAGCCTATAACTAAAGTGCTACAGATCAGTGCTGCAGTCACAGTTATGTACAACATATTTTAAAGTCTGGGATCAGGAAAATGAATGTACAATAACAGAGGTTGCAGATGCCAAAAATAGGTGGGAAGTACAAGTGGGTGAGGATAATGCAGAGTATCTTCAGAGGGATATGAATACCGTAAGTGAGTGGGCAGAAATCTGGCAAACGGAGTATAATGTCGGCAGATGTGAGATACACAGACAGGAGGAAAGGAGGAGCTGAACATTATTTAAATGGAGAAGGACTCCAGAAAGCTACAGCACTGAGGGTTTTGGGAGTCTTTGTGCACAAATCACAAAAAGCTAGCAGATAAGTTCAGCAGGTGATAAGGAATGCAATTGAAATTGTGATTTTTATTTCAAAGGGAATGCAGTGTAAAAATAGGCAAGTCTTGTTGAAATTAAGCAAGTCACTAGTCAGGCCACAGCTGGAGTACTGTGAATAGTTCTGTTATCTAAAGGGTATATCGACATTGGAGGCAGTCCAGAGAAGGTTAGAGAGCAAAGGGACAATCTTTTATATCTTAAGTTAAATACATCGGGCATGTATCCATTGCAGTAAAGAAGAACGAGAGGTGACCTTATTGAAACAAACATGATGTCAAGGGGACTTGACAGTGCAGATGTGAAACAGGTCTTTCCCCTTAAGGCTGTGTCTCGGACCAGAAGGCATAATCTCGGAATAAGATATTGCATGTTTTAATTTGTTGAGGAATTTCTGCTGAGGGTAGTGAATTTGTGAATTTCTTCACCACACAGGGCTGGAAAAGGAGAGTTTTAAGTATATTCAAGGCTGAGTACACCGATTTTTAATCAGTAAGGGAATTGAGGGTTATGAGCAAAAGGGCAAGAAAGTGAAGCTGAGGATTGTCAGACTTGCTGGGCTGTATGATTTTCTGGTCTTACTGTTTAAGGACGTGCAATAATCTGAACTTGGATATGGGTGGCACGGTAGCTCAGTGGGTGACACAGCTGCTTCACAGCGCCAGGGCTCTGGATTCGATTCCAGGCTCAGGCGAGTCTGTGTAGAGTTTTGCATGTTCTCCCAGTGTCCGAGTGGGTTTCCTCTTGGTGCTCCGGTTTTCTCCTACATCCAAAGGTGTGCAAGTTAGGTGGATTAGCCATCGGATATGTGGGACTACAGGAGTAGGGTAGGGGGGTTGTGTCTAGGTAGGATGCGCTTTGGAGGATCAGTGTGGACTCGCTGGACCGAACAGTCTCCTTCCACACCAGGGATTCTGTGATTCTATGTGAATGACATCCTTTCAAGTAAGGGCATAAGGATGTCAATGGGAACTACTGGCTAGTCAGTTTAACTTTGTTTCTAATATCTTAGCTGTCATTAATGATCGGGAAAGAAAAAGAGGCACTTGAGATGTCTCAATTTGTATTTGACTAATGCAATGAAATTTGTTGTTGAAGTACTAGAAATGGTTGAACAGAATACAGTAGATGTCATTTGTGTAGATTTTAAAGCATTTATAAAAGGCAGTTTAACAATTTATACTCTTTGAGAGGCTGGTTAATGTCGGCTTAGATTTTTAAAAAAAAAGTCATGGCATATTATTTATCCCAGAGCAAGACCTGCAAGTTATCTTTTGGGCTTCTACTCGCCCATTCAGCTAATTAGGAACGTTGGAGGAGAGGCATTATTGCTCTGTTCTGTTCTTATATTATGCAAGTGATTCATACTTGAAAAGTGCTTCATTGGCTGCAAAAATGCCTTGGGATGTCTGGTGGTCATGAAAGGTGCAATTTATATATGCAAGTCCTTCTTTCATGCTTCAAGGTTTGTAATTTGAAACCCAGGAAAGCAGTAAACCGTGAGGAACATGGGAATGAATCAGGACATAAAATGTGAAATGGGCAATCACATGGCAAATGCTTTATGTTGTGAAATGTTTTACACAACTGATCAATACTGGACATGTGAATTAATTTGTTTTTAAGAATGAACATTGTGAACTTTTTGGTAATTCACAACTTTTCAATGAAGTTCAGTTATCAGGATGAATATGAAGCTGTATCTATATGCAATTTTTGTGCTCTGATATAACTATTCTACAGAGGTTGTTGCAAGAAATAGTGCGATATAAAACATTGCCTTTCATCCCTGTCCCAAAATTTCTGGTTGCTTGAAATTCTGCCACCTGAAAAGAAGGAAGAAATGTGCCCATCATAGTTGTGGTGATTCACTTGGTGCTTCATTGACTTAAATGGTGACTGAAAGGAAATTGATCTTTTCTGTTCAGTTGGGACATAATGATAGCTTCCAGCTGAAATACCCATTTCAATTGCATCCTATATTATGGCATGCAAAGTGATATTGTACGGTAATTTCAAGTTTCATGTGCCAACAGAAAGTGGGCCCCAGAAAGATGCTGATGTATCAAGTGATGAGACTGAGGAGGAATTTACAGCTGATGGTAAGAATTGGAGTAATTCTGTTTTCCTGTTCTGATTAAACCCCCTTAAAATATTACCTTTTGTATTCACATCAGAGCCTAAACAAGACATTAGTCTCCAAGTTACTGAAGTGTAACTGTTGATTAAAATTGTTCTGTGTCAGTTGGAGTTTTAAAGAAAAAATACCTGTGAATTGCAAGTCCAAGTAGTTAGATTTGGGAAACTCGCATTTAAAATAATTGCTGTCCATCCCTCCCCCCCCACCCCCTCCAATTCCCTGAACAGTTGCCTACTTTGTCTTGATTCATAGGATGTAGATGTCTTTGACGAGCACTTATTGCTGTTCCCTGATTTGTCCTTGAGTTGCTGGTGGTGAGCTGCTTTCTTGTTCTGCTGCAGTCTGGTGTAGCCACACCCCAACCTGTTGTTAAGGAGGGAATTCCAAGAATTTGACTCCGTAACAGTGAAGGAACAGTGATGTAGCTCCAAGTCAGGATGGTGTTTGACTTGGAGGGGAACTTGCTGGTGGTGTTTCTGTTGTCTTTTGTCCAAGCTGCAGACTTGGAAAGCACTGTTCACGGAACTCTGGTGAGATGTTGTAAAGCATCTTGTAAATGCTGCCATTGTGTACTGCTGATGAGTGAATATTAAAGGTATTAAATGGGGTGCCAGTTAAGTCAGTTGTTTGTTGTGGATATTGTGTAGCTTTTAGTTGTTAGAGTTTAACTATCCAAGGGAGTATAGAATATTCTATCACACTCTCTCTTGACTTCTACCTTGTAATGACTGACAGGCTTTGCAAAGTCAGGTGACTAGTTGCTTGCTGCAGTGTTGCTAGCCTCTGATTTGCTTTTGTAGCTACAGTATTTATGGCTGGTTCACTTTTTAGCTTCTGGCTGATGCCTGGTGGCTGGGGGTTCAGCAGTGGCAATACCATTGAATATCATGAACAGATGATTGAATTCTCTTGTAGGAAGTCGCCATTGCTTGACAATTGTGTAGCTTGAATGTTACTTGTCACTTACCAGCCAAATGATGGAGCAGCAACAAATTTGTTTCTTTGACTTGACTTGCTCGTTCTTGACTTGAATATTTTCTGTTTTCATTTGAGATTTCCAACATTCCTGCGGTGTTCTGCTTTTGCAGTGGTTCTACAGGATTGAGAGTCTGACCGTTGCTAGTCTGTGAGGCAGAAGGACTTGATTATTGTTGAATCTAGTGACTGGTTACAATTTGCTGAGCAACTTCTCAGTGGTGTTAAGAGTCAGCCTTATTAAGTATGGCATAATATCGTATTTTTGCAACAATCCAGAAGTTGTGGTATGATAATTAATTAAATTTGCTGTCGTGAATTTAGAACTCGAGTCTGTGGTTAGTACCATAATTGCTCACGTACTTTATCCTGCCTGCTAAAGTTTAAAATGTTAGAATTGATTTTAAATGAACAAAATTTGAATAATGCCCATATTCAGCACATGCTCCATGCAGTGCCTTCAAATGTTCCTTCGTAACATGTGGACTGAATCAAGTTGGCTGAAGGCTGGTATCTGTGATGCTGGGGACCTGAGGAGGAGGCTGAGATCAATCATCACCTCAGTACTGCTGGCTGAAGAATGTTGAAGCAGACTTGGACCAGATGTGCAAGAGACTGGTTGTACATGATACAACAATTCAAATTTGTCACTTGTTTTTGAGTGGATCTTTATGCAACCAAGTGAAGAAAGGTGAATCGGCTTCCCTGTATTCAACCTCACCAATTAGCTTCACAGAGATTTTATTTTAACACAAAGCTATTCATCTCTCAAATTTAAAATGTAGTTGACTTTTTTTTGCCAGAGACAATAAGGAACCAATTACAAGGTTTTCTTGACTGAGTATGGTATTCTATTATCTGCTAACCTGAAGAAAAAATAATAAAGACTCAATGTGAAGCATTCTCACAGGGACAAAACGTTACAAAGGATTAGTGGGTTACAACGTTTAAAAATAACTTTCCCAGTTACTGAGTTGGCCAATGAAATACTTTTATCTATATTGACTTTTAAGTAAAATATCTTGACCAGGTTTCTTTCAATATCTACAATTATTGGTTTACTCTCAAACAAAATAACTGGTTAACAAGTTGATAATGTGAAAGTATAAATGTTTATCCCTCTTAAATAAACCAGAACACACACACACACTTTAGGAAAGGAGGAAAAAAAATACAATATTCTCTCTACAGGTTCAACTTTTTAAAAAAAAAAAAAAAAAAAAAAATCATTTTCTGACCATTAGGGTAATTCTTGAAAGCAAAACAGACAAGCACGCAATCTTCCAAAGCTCTGATGTTCTGGCACCTGTGATCAATCGTGCACGGTTGTCTTTGGAGTCTTGGTATATGTAATTTGTTTAGGAAATATAATATTGAGAAGTTCCTGCAATCGCTTTTTCAGAAGGACAGAGAGGTTTCACCCTGAACTTGATGAGAGTATTTTCAGAAAATGGGGGAAGATCAACTGGTCAGCACTTCCATGGATATATTTTGTTCCACCCCACTAATTCCAGATACTAAAGCACTCTCCATCTAGTCACTATTCAGACAGCTCTAGCAGGGGTTTACAGCAGCGCACACAGTTATCACCAGTAATGTGATGTCTAGGGAGTGTTGTTAAAGATCTCTAATATTCACTGACACCTCAGTACAATACTGAGGGTGTATTTCGCTGATAGAGGTGTTTTTATGATGAGCTATTAAGCCGAAGTCCTGCTCGTTCCTTAAATGAATATAAAGGATTCCATTAAGCACTCTGCCAGTTTCATGACTATCCTTTATTCCTCAGCCAATATTGCTGAAAATGTTTATGGTGTCATTTGTCTCAGCACATATGTCTCAAAAGCAGCAAATTGTATACTATTAAACACACATTCCCCTCCCATTTCAGCATTCTGAAAGGACTTTGCTTCAGTGATACCCCGTTTCACACCTCCAGTCGTCACCAACTCTCCCAACCACTGCTCAAAGTGACTTTCCATGCCAAATACAGAGTGGTTTGCCTCCTGTCTCCTGCATGTGTACATCCCCAAGCATTCCTTGAAATACGTTAACTTATTTCAGTTTACACCACAATTTGTTGTTCACTGTGGTCTCCTCTATGTTGGGGAGCCCAAACCTAGATTGGATGATTGCAGCACACTTCGGGTTTGTCCACAATGGGGACCCAAGCTTAAGGTGGCCTGTTGTTTTAATTCTGTCAATTTTCTGTCTCACTGACATTTCTGACCTTGGCTTCCTGCACCGTTGAAGCTCAACATAATCTTCAGGAGCAACATCTCACGTTTCAGCTAAGCACTTTTAGGCCTTCTCAACTCAGTATTAGAGATTGACAATTTCACATTGTAAATTCTTGTCCCCGTTTTGTTTCCTTTGCTTGTTCAGTTTTTGTTTCTTTCAGTTTGCGGCGCACCAGTTCCAGGTACATCATTTATTTCTTTTCTTGTCCCACCTCCCTTTTGGCCTTGGAGGATGCACTTTTCTGTCAATTTCTTTTGTCTTCCACTCTTCCATATTCTGTCCTTTTTGTCCTTGCTCAAAATTATTACATTTAATGTTTCTTAGTTATTATTTTCTTTTGTGTTATTTGAAAGAAAGTGTAAACGTAATACTATTTTAAGGTTTGATGTATCTCTAAGTGATAAATATTCTGTATTTACTTTTGTTAGATTCGACTCAGCAGGAATATTCTGAAACTAGTGAAGACCCAGAAGTTGAAGTTACTATTGAAGGTAGGAATTAAATTTTCAGATGTTTTGACTTGCTCCGATGTGAATACAGTGCTATGGGCTGGCTTGGTGGCTCAGCGGTTAGCACTGCTGCCTCACAGCACCCAGCACCCATGAATGATTCTACCCTTGGTGACTGTCTGTGTGGAATTTGCACGTTCTCCCTGTGTCTGTGTGGGTTTCCTCCGGTTACTCTAGTTTCTTCCCACAGTCTAAAATGTGCACGTTGGGTGGATTGGCCTTGCCAATTGCCCATAGTATCCAGGATGTGCAGGCTAGGTAGATTAGCCATGGGAAGTGCAGGGCTACAGGGATGGGGTGGTGTGTGTGTGTGTGGTGGGGAGGGGGGTGGGCAGGCTGTGGGTCTGGGTGAGATGCTCTTCTGAGGGTTTGTGTGCACTTGATGGGCCAAATGACATGCACGCTGTAGGGATTCCATGATTCTACAAACTATTGTAATTGAATGCTCACTGAGTTTAGCATTCATTGTTGGCTTGTCTATTCGAATCTAAAACACTTGTGTTCTATAATCTGCAAAAATTAAAATGGTATAGCTACAGGTCTACAAACCATCTACTGGAATTCTTTGAGGATGTAACTAGTAGAATTGATCGGGGGAGCTGGTAGATGTGGTTAATTTGGGCTTTCAGAAGGCTTTCAACAAAGTCCCACGTAAGAGATTAAGGTGTAAAATTACAGCACATGGGATTGGAGTAGTTTATTGAGACAGAAAACAGGGTAGGAGTAAGTGGGTCTTTTCCTGAATGGTAGGCAGTGATTAGTGGGGTACTGCAGGGATCAGTATTAGGACCCCAGCTATTCACAATAGACGTTAATGATTTGGGTGAGACTAAATGTAATTTCTCTAGATTTGCAGATGACACAAAGCTAGGTGGAAGTGTGAGCCTTGAGGAAGAATCAGAAATGTTACAGTGAGATTTTGGATAGGCTGTGTGTGTGGGCAAACGCATGGCAGATGCTGTATAATGCGGATAAATGTGAGGGTATCCACTTTCTTAGCAAAAATAGGAAGGCAGAACATTATTTGAACTGTTTGTAAATTGAGAGAGAAATGTTCAAGACCTGGGTGGCTTCATGCTCCAGTTACTTAAGCATGCAGGTGTAGCAAGCAGTGAAGAAGACCAAGTGTAAATAACAAGAGGTTTCAAGTACAGGAACAAGGATGTCATGCCACAATTATACAGGACATTGGTGAGGCCACACCTGGAGTATTGTGTGCAGTTTTGGTCTCTTATCTGAGGAAAGATGTTCTTCATCTGGAGAAAGTGCGGTGAAAGTTTACTAAATTGATTAGTGGGATGGCAGGACTGGCGTATTAGGAGAGATTGAGTTGTTTAGGATTGTATTCACTGGAGTTTAGAAGAATGGGTGATGATCTCGTGGAAACCTATAACATTGTAATAAGTGTAGACGGTTTACATGCAAGAAGGATGTTCCTGATTGTCGGGAAGTCCAGAACCAGGGGTCCTAGTTTAAGGACAAGGGGTAAACCTTTTTAGGATTGAGATGAGAAATTTTCTTCGCCCAGAGAGTAGTGAGCCTGTGGAATTCACTACCAAAAAAAGTGATTGAGGCCAGAACATTGTGTCCTCAAGAGGAGGTAAATATAGCTTTTGTGGCAGAAGGGATCAAGGGATATGGGGTGGAGGGTAGGATTTTAGGATATTGAGCTCGATAGATAGCCATGACCATATTTAATGGCGAGCCAGGTCTGAGCCTACTCCTGCTTCAGTCTTCTAGTTTTCTGTTACAGATTCATCTACATGTGCTTTTTTTTCTAGTTTTTATTATTCCTGTATTTCTGACCTATCTGTTTTGCTTACGTTTACAAAAATGTGTTGGAGATACAGTTTTTTGTTCAATTTAAGATTTGGGGTTATGACCTACTCGAGGATCATTTAAAAAATGATATAGCCAAGAAACCATTGTGTTTCTTAAAAATAATTTGTCACTCCTCTAATTGAAGAGCTTAATTTCTGCAGTAGTGAAGGGATGCTGAATGTCAAAAGCTATATGTTCCAGGGCAGCAGAGAGAAACCTCCAGACTCTACAGCCAACAGAATGTATTTTTAGCACCAATGACAATTTCACCCACCCTTGAAGTCCATAGTTTTGATCTTTTGGAATTGTCTTTACCCAGTCTATGTTCTTTTCTCACCCATAGTATCTGTGGAAGAGTGGGGCATGATTATCAGTAGACTCTCTAACTTAAGTTATACCATGGTGGGGGCAGAAAAGAAAAGGAAAATTTAATCTCCATTTCTGATAAATTTTTGAAACCAAAACTATGCTTAAATTAGATTGCATGGATTGATTGAAATTTTCAATTTAACAAGTAAAATTACACAATGGATATGACACAAATGAAATTAAGGTGCAGATCAGCCTTGATTGAAGGGAATAGCTAAATTGGCTTTAGGAGCTGAATACATATTTCTTACAGACATTTCTTTAAAAATTAAGTCATGGGGGCTTTAGGTGTCTGCCTTGCCCATGAGAAGGTGGTGGGGTTGTTGCTTTGTTTATTTGCGGTAGCTACGCCGGCAATAACATACAGCAAGTTCCACAATTTTGACCCAGTGATATTGAAGGCAGCGCTTATATTTCCAAGTCAGGGTGACAAGGGGCTTGGAGGGAAGCTTGTTGATGTACCCATGTATTTGCTGTCCTTGTCCTTCATAATGGTACCATGGTTTTGGAAGGTGCTATCTAAGGAATCTTGGTGAATCTCTGCAGTGCATCTTGTAGATGGTACACATTGCCACTACTAAGTTACCATTCAAGTAGACTGCTTTGTCCTGGATGGTATTGAGCTTTGTTGGAGCTGTATGTATCAAGGCAGTGGGGACTATCCTGTTATGGACCCGAGTTGTGTAATGCAGATTTCTGGACAGGTGGTGAGTTAGTTTCTGTAGGATTCCTAACCTAGACCTGCCCTTGGAGCATTGTAGTTATGTGATAGTGAGAAATTCACCATTGAATGTCTAATAGTGATGGTTAGTTCTCTTGTGGGAGATGGTCTTTGTGTGGTGTAAATGTTACTTGCCACTTTTCAGTCCAAGCCTGGATGGTGTCCAGATCTTGCTGCATATGGCTATGGATTGCTTTGATATTTGAGGAGTTGGGAGTGGTGCTGAGCATTGTGCAAGCATCAACAAACATTTCCACTTCTAACCTTATGATGGAGGAAGGTCATCGATGAAATAACTGAGATTGATTGAGTCTAGAACACTACCCAGAGGAACTCCTGCAAAAGTCTCCTTTGAACTGAGATGACTGACCTCCAACAACCACAACCATCTTCCTTTTGTGCCAGGTATGACTCAAACCAGTGGAGAGAGAGTTTTGCCTCTTATGGACCCCATTTTGGGAGTGCACCTCAAATGCAGCCTAGATGTCAAGGACAGCCACTCTTGTCTCACCCTTGGAATTTGTTTCAAATGTGGACAAAAATAACTAAGGCTGAAGTGAGGTCAGCAGTTGAGTTGCGCTAGTGGAATCCAGACTGGCTGTCAGTAAGTGGGTTATTGCTATTAAATAATACTATTCATGAAAGCTTGCATCACTTTTATTGTTGATTGAGAGTAGACGGATGGTCGATAATTGGCTGGGTTGGATTTGTCCTGCTTTTTGTTAATAAGGTGTACCTGGGCAATTTTCCATATTTTTGGGTAAGACCATAAGATGCCAATATTATTTAGAACAGCCTGGCTACGACGCAACACATTCTGGAGCAAGTTTTCAGTCCTATTGCTGGAATGTGTTTGGGGCCCACAGCCTTTCCATTATCCAATGTCTCCACTGTTTCTTGATATCACAAGGAATGAATTGAATTGGCTGAAGACCTGTGATATTGGAGACCTCTGGAGGAGGCCAAGGTGGAAAATTCATAATGAACTTACGGCTGAAGATTGTTAGCAGTGCTGGGCTCCCCGATCACTGAGGAAGGGGATATTTCTCTGTGTATATCTCATCTGCCATGGTGGGATTTGAATTGTGGTCTGCAGAACATTTACCTGGGACTCTGGATTAATGGTCTAGTGATAATACCATGAGACCATTGTCTCCCTTTATACTGGTGTACTGTATTTAAATCCTTTTGGTTCTTCGATTATAACTGTTTGTTATTTAGCACTCATCATCTTGTTTTAGTAGCCTGCCAATGGAAATCACTTGGGTGGTTTACATTCTTGAGATTTGATTTTACCGGTAGCTAACGGTAACTCACATGCTGACAAATTATATTACTGGTAAAACTCCAATTTCTTTCATAGTGCAAGAAGAATCATACAAAGTCTCGTAATAGTCAACCATGTGTAAAAGCTGATGCCCTTGGCTGCATCTCAATGTGCTGCCACACTCTGGAGTCAGAGTAACATAGCGGAGACCAGAATTTGAAACTGGTTTCCTGACATTTTAGAATTGGTGCTAAATGAGAATGCACTTTCTGCTGAGATGTCAGGGAACATGGTAAAGTTTTGATTTCCTGTTGCAGTGTTGGAGGTAAGGATAAATAGCAGAATCCATCTACAACAGCTTAAGAGGTATCGGTGTGGTGTAGTCAGCTTAGTCCTGGAGTTGAAAGCAAGTCCCTTGAAGACATTACCTCTATGAAAGTTGTCCTCTTGATGCTTTACCTAAAAGATGAGAGTCCAGACTTTTCTTTTGAACTTCAATGTGGTAAATAAACAAATGAAAATAATTGCTACAAAGATTAGTAGTGAGTAAAGAAGTGATAATTGATGATTTCCATGTAACTGGTCATAATGGATATAATGATCCTTTCTATCCATAGCTGGTAGTACTGTTGTATCCCAGTAATGTTCAGTCTGAAACTGCAGTCAAAATCCTCTTTTATTGTGCAAGGTGGTATCAGGCATCCAGATGATGTTAGCTGAACACACTTTTTGCTCTGTTTCCTTGGTCTTTGGTCCTTTATGAAGGTGACAATTCTGGGAACCTACTGTTATTTCAAGTCACAG